AAGTTTCCGCAGGCAACTCGCCTCAGAGCCCTGCTATCATATTGCTCAAGCTGAACAGGCTTTCTGGTCTTTTATCTCTGCCCAAAACAATTCTAAAATGCCATTAATTAACATATATTTACCAAGGACTGAAACTTGCACACAACTTCAAACTTTCACCGAAGAAAACATCAGTAAGTCAGAAACGATCTCCAAGGACTGTACATACTAGTGTTAAGGAATTCAGTGAGGAAAATCCAGTGTTCAAAAGTCTATAACCACAGTTACAGACGGTGCAGTACTGCTGACTTTAACAACTTGACATCATGCTGTAGCCTCACTTTCTTCATACACTACGATGGCTAAATAGGGAAAACAAACAGGCATTTGCAGTCAGTGTGGAGGTCACGCAGGTAGAATGAGGCAGAAAACTTCATGCTGTCCTTGCGCAGTTCCTGACCCTCTCACTGCAAACACAGTGATTTGACCAATTCAGAGGTACAGTGAAAAAGCTAGTATACGATCTTATAAAAGCACAGAGATCCCATAGAAATAATATACGCATGTAACCGTCCAGCAAACATTCCTGTCTTCTCTATTCGGTTTTGTAAACGTCGCTCCCTGTCAGCATGTTCATGAACACAAACAGTAAGTTTGGCTGCCACACGTATGCACACACGTGCGCGCGTGCACACACTCTCCCTCACTCCATTTGCGCAGTCCTGGATATATTTATGAGTGAACTGATATTCCAAATCAGCTCAACGTAAATGAACTCCTATGGTGTGTATTTGTTCAACCAGGCAAATATATCAGCCTTAAATGCCTGCATTTATACCTCTGTGATATGAATTATGCATATATTAGTAAGCGCTCTGTCTTTCTCTTCTATTAAGCATTGGGCTGGTCCCTTGGGAACTCATTATCTACAGTGAGTTTCACAAGGGCTTGATGTGACTCTACCAGAATTGTTATTGTACTGTACCTTCCCAGAAAGATTGTGATACTTTTCCCAGACACCTACAGTTCAATTTAGTGTTGACTATTTAATCGTCTAATAGCAGTAACATTTTTCCCACCGAGCCAAAATAGTGAAATTGAATTATCAGGAATATTACTGGGTTTTTTTTCCAGAGACAGACAGAGCCATTAATCTAGCACTTGGACGGGTACTTCTAGAACAATTTCAGTGTTCCTTCCCCCGGCAATCTGCTTCAACTTACTTTTCTGTTTTTAAAGTAGGTTTTGATTTTGCTTTTTTTTTTTTTAACTGCCTCAGGGATGGCAACTTGGCCCGATGTCCGCGCCGATGCGGGAGGCGAAAAACAGCCCACAGTTCAGTCGGCGTACCCCGTTCAGCGACAAACACCCTGACTAGCAGCCGAAAGACGGTGAGAAAGCTTGTGTACCGCCA